GGTCTTGCTGCAGCCCTCTGCCTCTCTGGATGGGTGAAGGTGTGAGGGGGCGGTGGGAGGCATTTTGCTCTTTTAGAGCCGTGGCTACAGCTCAGGGAGAATGGGTACAGATTGGGTGGAGCAGCCCCTGTGGGTGACGGCCCTGGCAGCAGAACTGGCCAGGCAGGTGTGCCAGCCCAGGCATGCATCAGGCGGGCAGGCTGTGGCAGGGGTGCCCTTCCCTGGGAAGAGACCAGGCATGGGTGGGGGGCAGGGGGTGGGGCGGGCTGGGTTGGTGGTGGTACGTGGGGCGGGTGGGCCCTGAGCTGAACCCCTTCTAATTCCTCCTCAGGGATACAGTGGTGCCCAGAAGCACCTGTGCGTGCATGCTGAGTCGCTTCAGTTGTGTCCGACTCTGTGGACTGTAGCCCGACCCTATGGACTGTAGCCCACCAGGCTCCTCTGTCCATGGGATTCTCCAGGCAAAGAATACTGGAGTGGGTTGCCATGACTTCCTCCAGGGGATCTTCCCAACCCAGAGATCGAACTCACATCGCTTAAGTCTACCTGCATTGACAGATAGGTTCTTTCCCACTAGTGCCCCAGCCAACATTTATTGAACACTCACCTGTGTCTCGAAGCTCCGTTCCATCCCTTTCTCCTCAGGGGCATCTCTCCAAGTGGAAACTGTCATTATCCATTTTACAAAAGAGCCCACCAAGGCTCTGAGGAGGGTGTCACTGGTCTGAAGTCCTAGATGACAAAGTAACTGAGCCTGGCTCCAGACTCCAAGCTCTTAATCTTTACTCAATGACTGGGCAGAAAGACAGACAGGGCCCCTGCCTTCCTGGAGCTGGGAGTCCAGGGCAGAGATATACGATGTACCAGATGAATCAGTAAATAACGAAGGTCATTTCAGACGGTACCAACTGCAGTGCGAGATTGGGGAGGAGGGGGACACAGACCGGAAGGCCTCTCTGAGGGAGTCACCACCTGGGAAGGGCTTGGGGCACGGTGTTCCAGGCACGCTGATCCCCAAGTGCCAAGATCTTGAAGAGTGTGAGGAACTGGTGTGGGTGGGGGGGAGACAGTGGGGCTGGAAGAGGAAGAATGGAGATGAAAGGGGGAGAGACTGTGCCAGGCCTTGTGGGCCTTGAAGGCCTGGTATTTTTCGAATTTGGACTTTTACTCTGAGCCATGGGACCCTCTGGAGCAGAAGAAGGCTATGATCTTGTGGGATCTCATGTGGGAGGTGGCACAAGTTGGGGGTGCTGGGCCGGGGACCGGGGGCCGGAAGCCCCCCTCCACTGTGTATAGGGCCCGTGGGAGGTGAGATTGCCACTTGGGAGGTGAGAAGCAGCCACATTCCCACCCTAGGGTGTGGCTTCCCCTTTGCAGCAGGGGGTCATTTATCAAGCACATGGACCTGACACTTTGGGGAATCTTCAGGGCTCATCCTCAAGGGCTTGGCGGGGAAGGCTGGGGGCTCCAGCACTCAAATCTTAGCACAGCCACCCCACCCAACAACCATCTCCGCGCCCCCCCCCAACTCTGGCTTCCCTGGCTGCATTGCCCCAGTGCCTGATCTGTTGGAGCAGGCAAAGAGAAAAGAAGTCACTCAGTTCTGCTGACTCTGCAACCCCATGGACTGCAGCCTACCAGGCTCCTCCATCCATGAGATTTTCCAGGCAAGAGTACTGGAGTGGGTTGCCATTTCCTTCTCCAGGGGATCTTCCCAACCCAGGTCTCCCGCGTTGCAGGCAGACGCATTACCATCTGACCCACCAGGGAAGGAGCAGGGAAGAGTGGTTCTATTTGGAGGCACTAGGATCCCTAAGAGGCGACACGAGGGTGCGACCTAGCCTGGGTGCCCCAAGGGGTCTCTCTCCCGGGGGCGGGGGCGCCCCTCTGACCCATCTGATCCATCCGCTGATCGTCTCTGGGCCGCCCTCACCCCACCGGATGCCGAGACCGACAGAACCTGAGGCGGCCGGTGCAAAGGGCACAGTCCTAGCGAAGGTCGCAGCAGCCAGGCCCAGCCCCCCCTTCCCGGCTGTGGCCTCTGATCGGAGGGAGCTTCCCAGCCTGGAAGCTCCTGGGAAGTGGGGGTGGAGGGTGCGGGGCCAGCTGGGACTGGCCCATTGGAGGAGCTGAGGCCTGGGAGAGGCGTGGGAGAGACACAGACGGCGAAAGACTAAGAAGCGACTGAGAGAGAGAGACACAGAGACGGGGAGAAGCAGAGACGGAGAGACCCCAAGAAATCAGAAGGCAGACACACGCGGAGAAAGTGAGGGACACAGTCATTCATTCACTCACTCACTCCGCGGCTGCTTACTGGGCACTGGCTTGGGTGCAGGCAGTGCCCAGAGCAGTCGCAAATCTCTGCCCCTGTGGGGCTGTCTGGTGGGGACACAGCCCAGAAACCTGATAACCGAGTAAATCACGTTGTCGAGAGTGATAAGGGCGAGAGATACGGGGTGGGGGAAGCGGGACGACGAGGGGGACTTACGAGCCAGATTCTTTTTATCTGGGGAGGAGAAGATTCCCACCAGCATCTGGACTGCGCCTGCCCCTCCCCCACCCGCCCCAAACTGGGGGATGGGAGAGGGGAAAGGGGGTGGGGCCTGCGCCCGGAAGCCGAAGGCTCTATCTGTTAGGGGCGGGGGGAGGGAAATTGAGGCTACGGCTGCTAAAGACCCCTCTTAACCCGGGTTGCCGGGGTTCCTCCGCCTACTGGACGTCCTTGGGGTGCAGCCCAGGAGGTTCAATCAGAAGGAAGGTGGTAAAAGGGGAGGGTTCAGTGCCCAGAGCACAGAGGGGACCCCTCTATTAGGGGGGAAAGAAGCGCAGGCTGCGGCCGCTGGGGCTGAAGAACCCTCCCCCTGTTCGTGTCTCCAGGTCCTCCCACCACGACGGAGCGTCCCTGGGAGGGCCGCCCGGGCCCCAAGGGGGGAGCCTAGGGCTGGCTAGTGCCAGTCGGCGCCGAGGGCGCGTTCCGTTGCCGCGGCGGGTGGTACAGGCTGGCAGACACGCGCTGGCAGCCGCCGGCTGGCAGCCCGTACCCCAAGAGGAGGAGGGGGCAACTGCTGGCGATCGCCAGCGCTCTGCCTTGGGGGCCGCCCCTCGCCTGCCCCCAGCCCCGCCTCCCGAACAGGGGCCGCTGTCTCCGCTCCCGGCCGCGCGACTGTCGAGCGCGCACTACCTGGGCGCAGGGGTGAGTATCCACCACTGGGTCCTTTCGCGCGCGGGGCTTGTCCTGGCCCGGGGGTGGGAGTTTCCCTGACCACCACCCTTGTCCCCTTGGCTTGGATTTCTCGGGCCTTTCCCGAAGGCTCTCGGAAGGGGAAAACCTGAGATTTCGGGACTGGATGCGGGGACGCGGGATGGGGGTGGGAGGCACCCGAAATCCTCCCCGCCTCGTCCTCTCCCAGCCACACCACTGCAGGTTTCGCTACCCCACCCTTGTCTCCAGGCAAAAGGAGAGGTGGGGGGTACACAGGCGGCGAGCCACTGCGCAGGGTCCCCCGCGCAGCGAGTGTGACCCTGGGGTGACCCTCATCTGCGTGTATTTGGTGTCCCCTTCCCCCCAGCATGGTTGAGTCCGTGACTCGCTGTGAGTCTGTATTTGCGCCTGGTTCCCTGTGTGCAACTCAAGCCGTCTGGAAGGCATTTGTTTCTGCCCTGTGCAATTAAATCCGTTCCCCTCCCTAGGCCCTGGTTTTCTCGTCTGTTCAGTGGGGCTTCCGTGACTGTGTCTCAGTTTCTGCGTGGATGTGTTTGTGTGGAGCATGAAAATCTTTGTGTCTGCTTCTCTGCGAGGTACTTCGTCTGAGCCTCAGTTTCCTCGTCTGTAAATTGGAGTTAAGGGGAGAGCTGCCCAAGGTATGTTAGCGCGAAGTCACAGTTGGGAGGTATTATTGTACTTTAATGACGTGTATGTCCCTCTGCAAGAGTCTATGAGAGGTGAATTCCATCTGCTGCCCTCAGGCTCTGGCCCTGCAAAATGGGTGGAGTTTTCTCTGCCTTCTCACTGGGGTTTTGCAGCGAATGAAGCGGGGAGTTCGCAGGAAAAAAACCTCTATGCAGCCAGGCGTGTAGATTGTGGGGTTCTGGGTCCCAGGGGGTGGGTGGAGGTTGTGAAATTGTGGCCTGTGAGACTAGGCATAAGATCCTGTCTGTGTGTGGGGGAATTTGTATGTCTCTTTCAGTGTCCCCTTGTCCATGTGTGAATGTACTTCCTTTTTTTAAAATTTACTTTTGTGCTTTCTTTTAAAAAATATTTTTATGTATTTTTGGCTGTGCTGGGTCTTTGTTGTTGCCTGAGCTTTTCTCTAGTTGCGCCCACTGGGGACTACTTTCTAGTTGCCTGGCGCGGACTTCTCCTTGCCTGGGTTCTTTTGTTGCAGAACACGGGCTCTAGGGCGCTGGGTTTTCAGTAGTTGCGGTGCGTGGGCTCAATAGTTGTGAGGCACAGGCTCAGTTGCTCTGCGGCCTGTGGGATCCTCCCGGACTAGGGATTGAACCCTTGTCTCCTGCACTGGCTGGAGGTGGATTCTTATCCACTGGACCACCAGGGAAGACCTGAACGTACTTTCATGGTTCCGTGAGAGGGTGTAACTGCGCATTTTGCCCTAGTTTGTGACTATCTGTGCACATGTCCTTGTCGATGTGTCACTGTATTTGTCCCTTTCTCTGTGTGGGTGTTTCTGTTTTTGACTAAGATGCCTCTGGATATCCGTGCCTGTGTGTGAATTATTAATGTCCCTTTCACGTGGGACTCTGTTACCCCGTCCCCTCGTGATATGATTTGTCTCTTTGTGTCGGCCTGTCTCCATGGACACCCCCCTTCTATCCCAAATTCCCTTTGGGCCCCGGCGTGCGTGTAGCGTAGGGAGTAAGGGGTTAGAACCCCCTTCCCAGGTCAGGCGCCGCCTATGCCTGCCTTCGCAGGCTGCCGGGAATGGTGCGCATCAGGCCTGACATTGCTCCCAACCTCTCCGCAGCCTTGGGGCGGGCGGCCCATGGAGCCGAGGCTGCTGCGGGCCGCGCAGGAGAGCGAGGTCATCGTCCAGCATTACAACTACACCGGCAAGCTCCGCGGTGCGCGCTACCAGCCTGGCGCGGGACTGCGTGCAGACGCCGTCGTGTGCCTGGTCGTGTGCGCGCTCATCGTGTTGGAGAACTTAGCCGTGCTGGTCGTGCTCGGACGCCACCCGCGCTTCCATGCGCCCATGTTCCTGCTTCTGGGCAGCCTCACGCTGTCCGACCTGCTGGCCGGCGCCGCCTATGCCGCCAACATCCTGCTGTCGGGACCGCTCACGCTACGTTTGTCGCCCGCGCTCTGGTTCGCTCGTGAGGGCGGCGTCTTCGTGGCGCTCTCCGCGTCCGTGCTGAGCCTCTTGGCCATTGCACTCGAGCGCCTGCTCACCATGGAGCGTCGGGGACCCGCGCCCGCCGCCCGTCGGGGGCGCACGTTGGCGCTGGCCGCCGCCGCCTGGGGCTTGTCGCTGCTCCTCGGACTACTGCCGGCGCTCGGCTGGAATTGTCTGGGCCGTCTGGAGGCCTGCTCCACGGTCCTGCCGCTCTACTCCAAGGCCTACGTGCTCTTCTGCGTGCTCGCCTTTCTTGGCATCCTGGCTGCCATCTGTGCGCTCTACGCGCGGATCTACTGCCAGGTGCGTTCCAAAGCGCGGCGCCTACGGGCGCACCCCAGGACTGGCGAGGGAGTCTCGATGCGCGCGCGCCACACGCCGCGCTCCTTGGCGCTGTTGCGCACGCTCAGCGTGGTGCTCGTGGCCTTCGTGGCTTGTTGGGGCCCCCTCTTCCTGCTGCTCTTGCTGGATGTGGCGTGCCCGGCGCGCGCCTGCCCTGTGCTCCTGCAAGCGGACCCCTTTCTGGGCCTGGCCATGGCCAACTCGCTCCTGAACCCGCTCATCTACACGTTCACCAACCGCGACCTGCGTCACGCGCTCCTACGCCTCGTCTGCTGCAGCCGGGGCCCCTGCTGCCGAGACCCAGGTGCCTCCCGGCGGTCCGGGAGCGCCCCTGGGGCTTCGGGCGACCTGCACCGCTGGCTGCCTCCCGGCCTGGATGGGAGCTCCAGCCGCTCCGAGCGCTTCTCGCCCCAGCGGGATGGGTTAGAGACCAGCGGTTCCACCGGCTGCCCTGGTGCACCCACGGTCGCTGGGACCCTGGTAACCCCACCAGCTACAGACTGATGCCCTTTGACTGCCATTGCTCTCCTTAAGAGCCCTTTTGCAGACTTTCTTTTTAAATAAAGGAATTTATAGGAAAAAGCAGCCAAAGATGAAGATGGTGGAGGCAGAAAAGACCTAGGAGAATATATTTTATTGACGCTAAACTCCACAGCAATGAACAAAACAGACAAAAATCCCTGCTTTTGTCGAACTGATGTTCTTGTGTCGGACTCAGAGATGATAACGGAGTGAAGAAGCGTGGAGATGATTCCGGTGACAATACAGTGATGCGATGGTGGTCAGGCGATGCCTTTTTGAAGAGGTGGTAAGATGTGATGGGAGCTGAGGTGGTTATTATCCTGGGAACTTTAATTTTTGGCATGTGGGATCTTAGTTCCTTAATCTGGGATGAACCCACAACCCCTGCAGGGGAAGCAGGGAGTCCTAACTATGAACTGCTAGGGAATTCCCTGTCCTGGAAACTTCTGAAGGAAGAGCATTTCAGAATGGGGGAACAGCAGGTGCAAAGGTCCTAAGGCTAGAATATGCCTGTGTGTTCTCTCAAAAGCAAAGATCTTAGTGCCACTGGAGCAAGGATGGAGAGGCAGAGAAGAAACAAAGATAGGAAAATAATGGGGCAGGTGGGGCAAAGCCTTACGGACCCAGGGGAGAAACTTCTTTTGCTCTGAATGAAGTAGTACTCCTGGAAGGTTCTAGGCAGAGGAAGGACTTAATCAGGCTCAGGTATTTACACATGCCTCTGCCCTCTGTAGAGGGTGAAGCCAGGAGAACTGGGTGATGGTAACTGCCTAGGGGAGTGATGACAAAGACTGGGATGGTATGGATTCTCCACAGACTTTGGAGGAATTGGACAGAATTATTGAGGAATTGGGTGTGGGGGAGAAAGGAGTCAAGGACAGGTGTTCACTTTTAGAGGAGAGGCCAAAGACGGAGCACCCCAAAACTTGACTCTAGGAGACTCAGCCTGTTCCTCTGTGAAACAAGATTTTTTTGAAAGTGGTATCAGATCCTTCATAAAAGAATAAAAATATAATTGAATAATAAGAGTAATTACAGTTGATTTTACCCTTGGTGGCTCAGATGGCAAAGAATCTGCCTGCAATGTGGGAGACCTGGGTTCGATCCCTGGGTTGGGAAGATCCCCTGGAGGAGGGCATGGCAACCCACTTCAGTATTCTTCTTGCCTGGAGAATCCCCATGGACAGAGGAACCTGGTGGGCTGCAGTCCATGGGGTTACAAAGAGTTGGACACAACTGACCAAGAACAGCACAGTTACTCCCATAGTGTTCTAAGCCTGCGGCATGCCTTTTTCTCACCTTTCCCGCAATCTTGTAAGGTAGGTTTTCTCACTCCCATTTGATGGATGAGGAACCTCCAAGAACTGAGTATTTTGTCCTATTTTCTGAGCCAGGATATTAGCCGAGGAGGTTAGGCTCCAAGGTTCCAGGAGGCGCAGTCTGTTAAGCCCAAACCTACACTCACTTTGTTCAAGGGTCTGCATTTTCGGCCAGGGGCGATATTAGAGCCCCGGCTGTGCCCATGAAAGGTTCCAGGCGTCCTGACCACAGTTCCCAGCTGTCTTGGACTCCCAGCTGTCTCCAAGCACATTCCTAACCTCAGTGTGGAGAGGCAGGCTGGAGAGGGGGCAGGGTGGGTTTGGGGAAAGGGCCTGTGGCTTCGGGTTCAGATTGTGGCACACCACTTGCTGGGACACAGGGGATCTGCAGACAGCTGAAAAGTATGCGGTGTACAGGGGTGGGGGTGGGGGGGCACTGACCAGCCAGGGGACCTGAGTTCCCGTGGGCCACGTTCATACTGCCCCTGGATGCTGTAAGCACTGGGAAAACCAACCTATTTCCTCGAACACAAACACTCAAGCCTGGGGTCACATGCCAGTTCGCTTTGAGAACTGATTCTAATTTCCTATCTGGTTTGGTTCCAGTAACCCCCGGCTCCTGTAATCTTCCAGGGCAACCTGAGCCACCCCACCCCATTGCTCAGTGGTTTGATGATGGTGTGATAGCAGAAGAGTTATTTACTTGTTCACATTTTACAAGATTCAAAAAGCACCAGTTCCCACTCCTGGATATATACACTTGGCAAACTTGCAGAGCCATTCTGTAGGTAAATGAGCTGAAATGTAAATACATCTTCTCTCTTTTTACACAACTTGAGCATTGCTCTCCACCTTGCTTTGATCATTTAATAGTATCATCTTGGAAATTGTTGCATGTCTAGATTTTGTACTGTGTTAATTGGACCAGCCTAGGTGTCTTAAACAACCAAAATTTATTTCTCATAGTTCTGAAGGCTGCAAGTCCAAGATCAAGGTGTCAGCATGGTAAGATTCCGGTGAGAAATCTCTTCCTAACTTATAGACAGCTACCGTCTGGCTGTGTCCTCACATGGTGGAGAAAGAGATCAAGTTCTCTGGTGTTTCTTCTGATAAAGGCACTTATGCCATCATGAAGGCCCCACCCTCATGACATCCTCTAAATCTAATTACCTCCCCAAGCCCCCATCTCCAAATAACATCACTTATTTTTATATGTGGGCCCAGTCACTCAGTTGTGTCTGACTCTGTGACCCCATGGACTGTAGCCTGCCAGGCTCCTCTGTCCATGGGATTTTCCCAGGAAGAATGCTGGAGTGGGTTGCCATTTTTTCCTTCAGGAGATCTTCCTGACTCAGGGATGAAACCCTAGTCTCCTGCATTGGTAGGCAGATTCTTTACCACTGTGCCACCTTGGAAGCCCAAATATCATCATCTTATGTTAGGGCTACAATATATGATGGTGGGAGGGGGCACAGACCATAACATTTTTTATGTCACTTTATTTTTTAATTGAAGGATAATTGCTTTACAGAGCATTTTTTTTCACATTTAAAAATATTGAGGTAAAACATTCACACAGCTAACAGGTTCTTTTTACTGGCTGCATAGTATTTCACAGCATAGATTACACCAGGGCCGTAGGGATGCACACAAGTGTTGAGTCCAACACTTGGCATTTAAACACAGTATTGCAGTAAACATCTGTATACATACATCCTCCTAAACGTGTGCAAGGGTACCTTGGATAAATTACTGCACATGTCACTGCTGGGTCTCAGGGCTTGTAGATGTTAATTTGAGATATACCAGAGGTTTCCTTTGGCATGTGGAGAAGGGTGTGGGTTTGCTCACCGCGTCAGCCACTCCCCAGTACAGTATTTGGCGGTTATGCTATGACGCCACCTCTGGAGCCACTCAGAACCACAGCTTCACCACCGCCACTGGTTTGGGAGGAGAAGCAAGGAACCCCACCCCAGCCTTCTCTGGCGTGGGATTAATCCCAGACCCAGCGCAGGGAGGCAGAATCTTCCAAATTCACTCCGGAGGGCAGGTGGAATCTTTCCTTAGACCAGTATCTGTTCAGTCTACCGTCTCATACAGACGGACTCTTAAAAAACAAACAAAAAAAACCCCACCCCACATACATTTAAAAGTTAACTTTATATAACAAAGAGCATAAATGGAAAATCAGTATCACTTTCCATGAAAAATAACAATCCTTCATATTTATTGAGCGCTAGCATTCTCAATTAGTTCTCCCAATAATCTACCAGGTAGGTGCCTTTGTTACCAACATCTATTACTACGTGGTGTCCAATCCTTTGAGACCCCATGGACTGTAGCCCACCAGACTCCTGTCCATGGGATTTCCCAGGCAAAAATATTGGGGTGGGTTGCGATTTCCTTCTCTAGGGGATCTTTCTGACCCAAGGATCGATCCTGTGTCCCCTGCACTGCAGAAGCACTCTTTACCACTGAGCCACCACGGAAGCCCTATGAACATTTTACGAGGAAGGAAACTGAAGCATGCAGTGGTTAAATTATGGGTCCACCTGCGCAGAGCTAGAGAGTGGCAGAACCGGAGTTCGAATTCCCAACTGCGAGCTCCTCGCGCCTCCAGATTGGAGATAAAAAATAAAAACAATAAAAACCCCAGTAGGTAGGTAGACAGCTTTGCCTGGATCCTTCGGCCACCTGAACGTAAGGCCTGCACTGTGTGGAGTTAAAAGAAGGGCAGGTCGTGGAAAGTAGACCCGCGCTGAGACGACGAAACCCGGCGGATGGAAGGACTGCGAAAGGGTTGGGGGACAGGCCTGGTGCGCTTAGCCGTGCGCCCTTGCCCGCCGCCCTACTCCTCGCCCATGGGCGCCGGGCACCTGAGGGAAGGGCGGGGAATCCCGACTCCTTCACCGCCGCGCCCTCTCCGCCCTCTCCCCGCCTCCTTCTCGGGCGTCCCGAGGCTAACCCCCCCACTCGACGGCCGCGACCCCGCAGGCCCCGCCGCCCAGCCACAACCCCCTCCCCCGCCGCCCCGGACGGTGGAAGCGCTCTCGGGTCTTCAACAACGAAAGGCGGGCGGGAGCCGCCCCCGGGCCAGGCCACGGCCCCTCGGGCTTCCCGGAAGCTCGGTGCGCGGGTGGCACCACCGCGCCCGGAGCCACCGCTGCGCCCCCAGGCATCCCCACCCCGCGGTGAGAGTGTCGGAGGCTACGCAGGTGAACGCGCAGGCGGCCGCGGGGAGGGGTATCCGGTGATCCAGGATGCAGGGAAGCGCTGGGCCTCGAACCCGGGGCTTTGATTCTAGGCGGCTCCGACCACGCGGGCTGGGTGCGCCCAGGTCTGGGTCCTTGGCCCCGCCGCGATTACCGGCGCTGCGGACGCCGCTGTGGGGCTGCGCAACTGGGCAACAGCGAGCGTGGGCGGGGAAGGGGGTGGGGGAGCGGCCCGCTGCCTTCTCTGCCGCCCGAGGCCCGGGCCCGCGGGGACTTTTATTCTGACACGGCCGGCTCCCGGCTCTGCTTAGTCATGGTGACCTGCGCGCGCTCCGCGCCTCCCCCCTGCGAGCTGCGATGGAGGCGCCCGGGCCTGGGCGACGGAGGCGGAGCCCGAGCGCGGCCATGGCGGGGTGAGTGAAGCGGCCCGCGCCCGGGCTGAGGGCACCGAGGGTCTAGAGTGCTCTGCGACCGTGTCCGGCGGCCGGAGCACTGGGCGATGCGGGGCCCGGTCGCCTCGGGGTTTCCCGCGGCTCCGCGGAGCGCCAGGAGGGCGCGGCTCGAGTCCGGACCTTTTGTTGGACGGCGCGACCGGCGGGTGATTCCGGGAGCGAGAGGCCCAGGAAGCGTCGCTCGGACGGAAGCCCGGGGATTCCGGGGCGTTTGTGGCGGGGGGACTTTGGTCTGCGACCCGGGGCTTGCGATGGAAAGGCCGCGGCGGGGTCACTTCCTCCCTTCTCTAGGCCTTGGCTGCGCCGGCGGGACATGCGCAGTCCCCCACTTACCGCTTCTTGGGGGTGGGGGGGAGTGTCCAGTGCCCAGGGGGCACCGTTGACCGTTTGGCTAAAGACCAAGAGGCAGGCCCGGGCCTCGGCTGGGGAGAGGCGGCCAAGCAGTGTCTAGGGCACGGTGGAAGAGCAGGGTGCTCTGGCAGGCACAGTGGGGTGGGCAGTCAGCCAGCCACAGCTTACTGACCCCTGCGTCGTGCCAGGCCCCAGGCGGGCTGCAGGGGAGGCACAGGAGAGGGTGGGCAGGACCCTGACCTACACAGGGCTACCTGCCCTCTGAATCCTGGGGCTCAGGGCCAGAGAGACCCTTCATCCATCGGCAAGCAAGCAAAGGAGCTGATTTCCATTCCTGACAAGTGGTGTGATGGAAATAAAACAGAGAGGAGGTAACTCTGAGTGGAGCCCAGGGAACAATAAGATGAAGGACCTCTTGTAGATCCCCTGCCTCCTCTTTGCTTGACTTTTCCAAACCCAGCTCCTGCCCTAACCCTCCAGACTTGACAGGATTCACAGACACCCTCCCTTCATTAGTCTTTCTCTCTCATCACATTCTTCCCTTATTCTCCAGGTCGGCTCTCATTCTGCCTCTGAGTCTTTGCACTCACTGTTCCCTCTGCCTGGAAAGCTAACACCCCTCCCCACCCCCCCCACCCCTGCCCCTTCATAAATTCATCCTTCTAGTCTCAGCTCCAAGACAGGCCTGGACCACCTGATTTTAAAACAACACCGGCCCGCCACACTGTCACAATGCTGTTGTCAGTTTCTTCATGGCCCTAAAGCCTTGCTTATTTCACTTATAGTACTTTCCTCCCTAGTGTTGGCTTCAGGGGGGGCTCGGTGCATGTCTGTCTGGCTCCTTGCTGTGTCCCTGGTGGCTAGAACACAGCACATGCCCGAGAAATGTTGATGGGGTGAGTGAAGGAATGAGTTGGACATGCTGTGAGAAGGGATGGGCCCCAGAGAGCTGGAACAGAATGGGCAAAGGGAACAGGTGGACGGGAGCTGACTGTGAAGGGCTTTGCAGGCCTTTGAGAAGTTTGGTTTTACTCTTAATGCCTCAGGGAGTGTGTGTGGGGGGGTGGGATTCTGAGCAGGGGAGGGTCACCATGTGACCTACGATTTAAGGTGGGCCCTTGGACTGGTGAGGCCATGGGCAGTTAGGGAGCACAAATGAACACTGCTTTACCCGGGCCTGGAAAGGAAAACTGGTCTAGGAGTCACTTTATCTTAGAAAAGAAGGCCTAGCCCCCAGCCCTGTGCTCTCCCCCTCCAGGCCCCTGAGTGCCAGTGGTGGTGTCCCTTGTCACCTGGAACCCCATGCAGCCGGAACCCAGGCCTAGCGGGCCCGGGGCCCATACCCAATTCCTGCCCCTGAGATCACAGCGCCCCGAGGGGGCAGGGGACACGGTGATGTACGCCTCCACCGAGTGCAAGGCCGAGGTGACGCCCTCCCAGCATGGCAACCGCACCTTCAGCTACACCCTGGAGGACCACACCAAGCAGGCCTTTGGCATCATGAACGAACTGCGGCTCAGCCAGCAGCTATGCGACGTGACGCTGCAGGTCAAGTACCAGGACGCGCCCGCCGCCCAGTTCATGGCCCACAAGGTGGTGCTGGCCTCGTCTAGCCCCGTCTTCAAGGCCATGTTCACCAACGGGCTGCGGGAGCAGGGCATGGAGGTGGTGTCCATTGAGGGCATCCACCCAAAGGTCATGGAGCGGCTCATTGAGTTCGCCTACACCGCGTCCATTTCCATGGGGGAGAAGTGCGTGCTCCATGTCATGAACGGTGCTGTCATGTACCAGATCGACAGTGTGGTCCGCGCCTGCAGCGACTTCCTGGTGCAGCAGCTGGATCCCAGCAACGCCATCGGCATCGCCAACTTTGCCGAGCAGATTGGCTGTACGGAGCTGCACCAGCGTGCCCGGGAATACATCTACATGCACTTTGGGGAGGTGAGTGAGGGACGGGGACAGGGCACCAGGGCTTCAGAGCAGTCTTGGGAGGACCAGGGAACAGACAGGTGGTCATCACTGTCTCCCCTTGAGAGGTGAAGGGTCAAGGCAAGGAGATGGAGAAAAATAGGGTTGAGCTCCCAGTCTACATATCTGCCACAAATCTGGGAAACAACCGAAGAAAGTGAGACCTTCATGGGTTTCTGGGCTCCCTGGGGTCAAAGGTGGGGACAGAGGGCAGTAACTATGACAGCAGTTCCACCCTAGGGTGCCCTGAGCAGGGCCTGACGTTCCAGGCAGTCAGTACATATTTATTAACACCCGTGACATGCTGTCAACTGCCAGTGTGACCCTTACACATGTTTTCTTTAGTCCACAAAGTATTGTGCTCATACTAATCTTTGTTTCATTTTCATTTTTAAGTGGAGGAAGTTGTGAGTAGAGAAAATAAGTGCTTGTTGAGCACTTGGTGTGGGCCAGCCTCTGTTCTAAGTGATTTCCAGCCTTTAAATCTCTGAGCCTTCCCAGCTATCCTAGGAGGAGATATGCTTTGCAGTGCCTTCCTGGAATTTTTTTTTTTTTTTTTTTTTTGACCACACCACACAGCTTGCAGGATCTTAGTTCCCCGACCAGAGATTGAACCCTGGCCCTGGCAATGAAAGTGCTGAGCCCCAACCACTGGACCACCAGGGAACTCCCCCTTCCTGGAAATTTTCAAAATCATCCTCTCATGGCCGGGACCAGCTAGGTGGACACTATCCCTGGTCTCCATGACTCTCCTTCTCTACCATCTTGGGGGTTGACCAGATGCCCCAAGAAGCTCTGACATTAGTCTTAGGACTTACGGCTTCTAGGATGGTGGCCCAAGAGCAGGGTTGTCCCACTGACTGCACAAAACCAGTATTGGGTTGCCTTGCCTTGGGGTAACAGGAAGCTGGGACCCCGCTGATGTGGGGTAACTGAAATTATTTATATAGACCAGTGCCAGACAAGAAATATTTCCCTTAGCAATAACCCTGCTAATGAGTTAGCAACTCATTATAGAGGAAGAAAACCAAAGCACAGAGTGTTTCAGGTTTTTGCCCAAGGTGGCACAATTAGAAGGTAGTGGGCCAACACTGCAACTCAGGCTGCTTTCTTCAAGCCTGAATTTTTTTGTCTTTCTAACATATTCTGTTGCTATTTCCTTTGTAGTCAGTCTGCTCTTTTGAAAAAAATAATTTCATTAAAAAAAGAAAAGGGTAACATTCTTACAGTTCATATACAAAATGATACAAAACCTAAGAGGTACGTTTTTTCTTTTTCCCATTTATGTACTTACCTGCCCTATGCCTGGCATGTAGTGTTAACTCATTGAATCCTCACACACTGAGAGTTTCATACTATGCAAATGCCTGTTTCCCTTCTTTGAATTTTTATTTATTTATGGCTGTGCTGGGTCTTCGTGGCTGCTCACAGGCTTTCTCTAGTTGCAGTGAGCAGGGCCTCTTCTCTGATTTCGCTGAGCAGGCTCCTCAGTGCAGTGGCTTCACTTGTCGTGGAGCACAGGCTCTAGAGCAAGAGCTCAAGATGATGGCACACGGGCTTAGTTGCCCCAAGGCATGTGGTTTCTTCCCAGTCTAGGGATCAAACCTATGTCCCCTGCACTGGCAGGTGGATTCTTAATCACTGGACCACCAGGGAAGTCCCTCTAATGCCTTATTTCACACCTGAGGCAGCTGAGATTAGCAGAGGCAGATTGAGTGTCTTGTCCGAGGTCCTAGCAGGGGCTTGGCGAGGGCCTGGCGGGTGGGAGTGGAGAGAGACCTGTAAGTCAGCCCATGACGCTGTCGCCCTCTGCAGGTGGCCAAGCAAGAGGAGTTCTTCAACCTATCCCACTGCCAGCTGGCGACCCTCATCAGCCGGGATGACCTGAATGTGCGTTGCGAGTCCGAGGTCTTCCACGCCTGCATCAACTGGGTCAAATATGACTGCGAGCAGCGGCGCTTCTACGTGCAGGCGCTGCTGCGGGCTGTGCGCTGCCATTCGCTCACGCCCCACTTCCTGCAGATGCAGCTGCAGAAGTGTGAGATCCTGCAGTCGGACTCCCGCTGCAAGGACTACCTGGTCAAGATCTTCCAGGAGCTCACCCTGCACAAGCCCACGCAGGTGATGCCCTGCCGGGCGCCCAAGGTGGGCCGCCTCATCTACACGGCTGGCGGCTACTTCCGCCAGTCGCTCAGCTACCTGGAGGCCTACAACCCCAGCGATGGCACCTGGCTCCGGCTGGCGGATCTGCAGGTGCCCCGGAGCGGCCTG